GAGAAAAAGTGCCAGGAGCGAGGTGCATTAGTCCAATCTTGAGATGACAAGATACAGAACAAGCAGCTGAGTGACCTGTGTGGAGAGAAATGGCCAGATCCTCCGGACATTATGAAGGGAAAACCTACACCTACAAAAAAGCATTCACATGCAGCGTATCTGCAGCACCTTCTGTACGTCTTCTATACCTTCTATATATATATATTGCATAGCAACATACCAAACTTTCACTCGTATGCTCTGTATGCCACATTCTACCCCAACATCATTTAACCACACCCACCTCTATCACTACACTATTTGAATAAGATTGATATGTAATAAAGATTTTCTTTAAATGTATTGAGCATAGTCCATTTCATGAGTAAAGTTTGTGCTTTTCATGATGTGATGAGACGTACTGAGCTCATGAAACGTCTTCTTTTCTCTGCACACAATGTTTTAAAATGTGGATCGTTTTTAGGCTGTAAATTCTTTAGGCTGTTGAGTATACCGAGACAGTTCACATTTCTAAAATACCTGTGTTTCTGTACCGCATTACCATCTGAGTAAACCTGCAAGCCTGAGTGAGAGGTTTCATGAGCCCAGTAAGTTTATATCAATCTAAAATGATTTATTACATGCTAATCTTCTTCCGCTAGCGTAGTGGTAGAGGTGGGCTTAGTTAAAATATGTTGGTGCAGAGCGTGGCATCCAGAGCGTTCGAGTGATGGCTGACTGTCCAGCACTACACCAAGGTTGTGTGCACTGTCAGATGGTATTCCCTTCTCCACATTCTTACTCACATTTACTCCTGTGCATAATTGCTAAACGGAAACCGACTGGCATGAAACTTGGCATGAAGGATGAATTTACATGCATGTTTGGACTGTGTAGGAGCTGTGTGTGTATCCTGAAGCACATCCTACGTGAACACTACAGCTACAGTAATGGAAAACGTTACTGCAGCCAGAGTAGCTTAATGAAACAAGCGTTCATCTAACCGCTGTGTTAAAGAACTGACCTACACAGCAAGTCTTTATTAGTGCTCGAGCGTTCTCTTTGCTGTAGTTGCTAAGGTAGAAGACAAGCCGCAGGTTACGCAAACATTTATAGATGTATAGATTATAAGTG